ATTTATTTATTTATTTATTTTATTTTTTTTTATTTTTTCTTTGGAACAGAGACACATTATAAAGACAAAAAATTGCTCAGGATGATTTTCCATTACAGTGTAGCCAACAATTACTCTTAAATTATTCTCGTCAGAAGCTGAAAGGCTCTTGTCGTCTGACTTATTAGAAATATTTCTCTGCACACTTTGTACTACAAAGTATTTTCTTGAACTCTCTCATCTTTAGAAATTTTAATCAATAAAATATTTTTCCATCCGATCAGGCTATATTTGGTGCCACCAGCAGCCCAGCGCTAACCTTCCAGCACCCTCCGGAGTAAACCAGACAGAGGAGGAGGAGGAGGAGGAGCTGGATCAAACTCTTTCCAGCCCCTTCATCACTTCGCACAGTTTGGACGCCACCATGGAAAACTGCAGGGGCCCCCCTCTGCTGGCCTCTCAGGGCGACATTCCCAATGGCACGAACACACCGAGATGGAGTCCAGAATCCACCAATCTAGAGAGCACGTTGGATGAGGGCCGCCCCCTGATAGGCCCAACGCAGGAGAGTGTGGAGCTAGCTGTGTGGACCCCTGAGGGCCTGAGAGAGACTGATACAGAAGCACAGGAGCCTCCGGATCAGGGGAGATGCTGTCGCTGCTGCCAGTGTAAATGCAGCCAGAGCCGTCTTCCTGCTTTCTTCTCGGTCCTGGCCTCCCTTATGTGTGCAGCTGGGATGCTCTATGCACTCTATTTCTATGTCCCCATAAGACCCCCTGACTGCCCCGACGTGAGCAGCCGCATCATTTTCACCTTCTGCTGCTGCACGGTGGCTGCTCTCCCGGTGGTGCTCGGTAGGCTTCAGACACAAACACTCTCTCAAATAGAACATAAAGATTAGGGGAGGATTGCTTTGGTCTGGCTTCCTCGTCTGAGAATGTTTGAGCTCTAACCTGTAATTTAATTATCTTTTAAGCCTAGTGAGGCAGACATATCCCTGGGCCTTTAGACAACCAAAATTTCCAGTCAATGCATTCTTAATGAATCTGACCTTCATGGAAGATTGACAAAAAAAAAAATCAGTAGTAGTCTGTCTTGCAGAAGAACTATTTAGAGAGGTGTCAAATGAAAACAAAATGGGCAGTTTTCGGGCTTCATGCAGAAAATGTGCAGATGATTTGAGGATGATTTTTTTATTTAATACATGAGAGTCAGAATTTCTGGTTAGATGGATGGATGGAGGTAAATGTAGGGCAAAACTTGAAGGAATAAATTTAGACACAGCAGAATACCAGACTGAGTTAGAGGCTTGTCTTCTAAAATGGCAGTAAAAATAATTACACAATAAGAGCTATAGTGTTTTAGATCAAAGCAGGGTCTAGTCAAAGTAAAGGTCTTAATCCAAATGAATTTATAAAAACATTATAAAAAGTCCTCTCTATTCAGTCTGTATGATCTGTTAGAGAAAACCCCGAATAAAGGCCACAGTTACTTCAAAAGGTTGTTCTCCCAAGTATTAAACCAAGGGTTTGAATACTTATTCAGGAAAAACTTTTCAGTTTCAATATTTTAAAAATTAAACATGTGGTCAATTGTGCCTCCAAAACATTTTGTGTTGGTCCAGCACATAACATCCCAACAAAATACATGAAGTATTATTGTGTAAGGTTTACTGAGAAAATTATATGAATATTTTAAAGAGGGTCTGCACAGCGGTAGGGTGAATCTATTTGTCTATTTCCCAACTTGACTAAACGAGAACACAGGTGTCAAAAACATCCCAATCATATCAGGATTGCCCTCTGACCCATATACCAAGTAGATGACACTATTTGCATTTGGCCAAATTCGCTGGCAGGAGCTCCATTCAAATGAGGGAAAAATGCAAAAACACAAAGATGGCGTCGGACAGGTTTGCTGTGAGCTTATAGTTGACAGATGGCCCAGATTGAAGAAAAAGACTGACTTATCACCTTTTTTTGCTTTGCAGCAATGCTGATTGGTGCATTATGCCAGTTCTGCTCCGGTTCCCTCAGTCTGCAGGAGTCGACGCCTCGAAGACACACTTTGCAGCAGCTTTTCGTCACATCGTCCCTGGAACAATTACTCCTTTATCTCCTCAACCTTGTCACGATGGCCACTTTACTAAATCAGGAGCAGCTGAAGTTGGTGCCTATACTGGTTTTCATGTTCATCATTGGCAGGTGAGGCCTTAAAGTGGATCAAAGCATTTAGTGGGATCCCTACACAGCTTCTTGTAGTGATATTTAACAGCTACCTACCCTTTAACTTCAAATAATTGTCACAAAACATATTAAAGCATTCATTACTTAATAACTGCTTATTTGAATACAGTCACATTCAACCTGATTAATCAATCATGATTAAACGTTTCCATAGACTTAACTCTATCCTGACAACACCCACCTTGAATTCATTGTAGTACATTAATTGGTTCAAAAAGGTTGAATGTATTGTATTTTAGGGCTAAAAAAGCAACTAATCTTCAAAAAATTGCCATAAATGACTAGACTCAAGGCATTTTTTTTAAGTGGAACTCTAATGGTCCCCAGCATAGTTAAACGTGGACTGTAGCTAAACATGGACATGGACTCAAAGACACTAAACATCAAGGGCATGTCCAGAGGACACAAAGATGGAGCTTTAGGCAAGGCAAGTTTATTTATATAGCACAGTGAGTACAAAGACATTTCCAACTGCTTTAACGGAATTAAACACTAAAATAGAAGTAAAATAAAAGCAGAATGAAAGCAAGTAAAGAATAGATAGATAGACAGAGCACCATCAGTTCAACACTAGTTGAAAGAGTCAAGCTCAGATTCAGACTTGAACCTCCAAAAGCATTTAAAGACAATTACAAGGTTGACTTTATATCACCTGAAGAACATTTCCAGGATTAAAGGACTAATGTCTCAGCATGATCTGGAAAAACTAATCCATG